TGCATTCAATGACTCAGACAGTTTCACCAATAATTATTAGTATTGCAACACAAACCTCATTGAGTGTATTGACAACCTTCAGAATCACTTCTCGGTGGCTCAGAGAGGGATTAGCTCCAAACAGTTCAGCTGGGTTAATTTTCTTGTGAGTCTGGGAGAAGTGGTGTTTGAAAAACAAAGCTTTTCCCTTAAAGTAAATCAAAACAAATTTAATATGTATTGTCTATCAGCCTGGGAGAAATATCAGAATCTCCTTTCCAGAATGCCTACCCCTGCACTCTCTGCTAACAAATTTGCACACCTAGGATAGGTTTTCATGCATATATGAGGTCTCACTCAAACACTGGCTGGTGGCCCGTCCAGCCTTCAATCTTTCACCAGAGACAAGAGATATCATCATCAGCCTGGGACGGAACGACTCGACACCAAGTAAGCGGGCCTAGTGTACCGACTCTACTGAATTCTATATCTTGGAAAACACACGGTACCACTTGAACAAGATATATTACTTCATAAGTTACATGGGCTGATTATTTCAAGGTGATTGAGAACAAAAAAACAGGGTTCACAAGCTAAACTAAGTTAAACAGGCTGTTAAAAAATAACACGTTAGAGTCATGGTAAAATTCTAGAAATGTAATCAGTTAAAAACCTCACCGAAAAGGGAGGACCATAAAAAAACACAACCTCTGGCTTCTTTGTCATTCCAGCTGTCGAACCAGATTACTAGGTCTACCACGAGCGGTCACGAACGGATACTTCAGTCTCGTGACTGTCCTCGGCGGATTCACGGTCAACGCCAGACGCAAAACCAGCGGTTGTGTTCATACTTACTTTTCTATTCATGTATGTCCCACTTGGCGTTATCGGTTGGAGTAATGACGGAGAGTGTTGGTACAGAATTGTGCAAAAGTTATACAAACAAAAATCGCCGATATTGCGTTCATTGTTCTTCCGAAATTTCATCGGACTTTCGTGCGAAAGCTCGTGGGAAGATTCTCACCTGCACTTCGCGCCATGTCGCTAGAGCAAAGAGCGATTATTCTTCGAATTTTCGTTTCCGAACGAAAATTCGCGATGAGAAAAGCTTGGAGAACACAAAACAATTCTCCGCGCAACACAATCAATCTACCTGTCATGTAATGAGCACAAAGCATGAAATTAAAATGTCTTGGCGTGATAAGTTCCGAACTGCGTTCGTAGTGTTTTGATCAGAGTTACGTTGCGTTTGACAAAATAACATTTTGAATTACAGTAAAAGGAGAATTCGAGCAAATATCTGGAAAGTACATGTGACAGAGCGTCCAAAAAATTCAGGAAAGCGTATAACAGAAGGAAAATCGTCACGAAGTGCCTTAATTATCGTCCGAGTTACACCATATCGCAAGTTAAGTTCGAGTCCGAGTCAAGTTTGAGTTACGAGTCAAGTACGATTCAATTTAAATCGTTCCCTTTTTTTTTCGCTTTTAGTTTTTTTTCTCTTTTTTTGTTTTGATTTTTGTGTTAAAATGATGTACCAGGGGTACAAGAACACCTAGTCCAAGCTAAAAACGTTTTTCACGGCCGTTAGCGAGGGTTAATTTTGCTCTGATTCACAGCTGCGTTCATAAAAAAAAAAGGGGCAAGGTATCTACGAGTTTCCCCCAACGATTCCTACTTCTTTTTTATTACACGCACCTAAGGCAGAAGTCCTTATTCGACGAAAAACGACTCGGAGTATAAAACTGACTTCTGGTACTTGACCGCCATGTTACATCCACAGGGAGAACATACATTACTTCAGAGTAAAACGTTTGTTACATCAAAATGATCATATTTAACTTTTCTTGTTCTCTCCGTGATATACGGGTTCCACATGTTCAAAGCTTTCCAAGCGAACCATGATACATAGTGAGAGGAATACATAACGTTTGATATGCGCTGAATCGTATGCATGATTAAAAAGTTGATAGTTAACGAGTTCAATTTTTCAGTAGTCAGAGCATCAGTTGTGGTTATCACCAGGGATTTAATATGTCTCAACGGACAACAACAGCCTTTAAAACGTTTTGTGAACTTTGCGAAATTCTGTAAGATGGAGAGAGGTCTGTGGTGAAATCAAACGATGAAGTAAGTTGTTTCAACTGAAGTAAGAGGTAAAAATTTATTTAAACGATCAAGGTTTGATTTTTTGTCGTTTTTGGTGGCTAAAACAATAATATATTGCCTTATGACGTTAAGTAAGGAGAATTAGAAACGAAGATATTGGAAATTCGTTTACTACCGTATTTGACAGTCAACCTGTATTAATTTGTCATTTTTCAACCCAAGGATTTCAGGCGAGGAAATTCAGGATGCCACTGAAGCTCTACACTGTGGAATTTTAGAGCATCTCAAGTCCAAAAGCTCACTGCCCACTGTCATTTCTTTTAAACATACACATTTTAGTTTTCTTTTTGAAAATAAAGGGAAGAAAAGCAATGACAGTGGGCACATCCTTCTAAAAAAGGAAGATTTTTCAAGATGCCACTTCCCAAACCAGTGGGACATGATTGTTGATGAGTTAGGTGATAGGGTAAAAATTGACTTTCCTGTTAAAGTAAGACTGTTTTTATCTTGGAGTCGAAAAATCATACCATGGCAGGAGAGTCAGTTGCTCCTCTCCCTGGGTACAGGCCCGAGAAATTGAGCCTTTCATTTTGCAAAGGAGCATGTAGCCTGTCCTGAGAAATAATTGAAATGCATATCTGATTTCGTCTATTTTTATATAATATGTATTTACAAGTCTGCCAAATGTGTACATATGTCTGTTGATGATACTGGAGATGGAGTAGAAATTGATTTCCCTTTTTGGTTATTTTTATCATGATAGTATATTATTTTGTAAATGAGTTTAATTATTTTTCACTCTCTTTTCTTCGTTTCTCTTTGATTTCTGTCTCCCAGTAAGCATCATGTTTCTTGGTATATTTCCGTTTAGAACGTTCCCTCTCACGCAGCTGCCATTGTCGAAATTCCAATTGTAAGATATCAGCAGCAGGAGTTCTCTTGTTCGACTTGTGGAGAACAACATTTCTGGCCATGTCATTGTTTTTTTCCACCCCTTGACCAGTAAATGGTTTGACTGATGTGTACTTTTTCATGAAAAGTGGAACATGATAGACAAGTGCATGCATATATGGAGTAACATCTGCCTTTATATAACCAATTAACTTGTCTCGTAGAGATGTAAATAAATTGATCCATGCTTTAGCTTTATCAAAACAAGTGAGGTATGTTGGGATAGAGGGGTTTTCGCTTGTGATTATTTGATAAAGTTCATGAAAGTCTTTCCATATTTTTATAACCGTTTGACTTGTTTCAGGGTGAATACAATTTGACTATTTTTCTGGTAACTCAGCGAGAAGTTTCTTTTTATCAGCTCCAAGTAGGGTAGTGAAATCGTACATTCCTAACCCTTTACCATCTGCATTTGTCTTTTCCCATATTTGAAATGAAATGCCACAGGATCTAATGCTTGTTTGCAGATTTTTCAAATGGGTGTCATTTTGGTTAGCTTTTCTCTTGTTGAAATTTTCCTTTTTGTCCCATTCAACTGTTTCCCTCACTAAGTTGTTGATTAGAACATCCATTATATGTAAAAGTAAGTGCAGTTCATCCAAAATTACATTGTCCAGGTCTACTTTTAAAAGTGGTTCATGTTCACATGAGTATTTTTCTGTATTTCCTTTCTTCCTGCCTAATGTAATGACTTCCTTTAGTGTTCTCTTAAGTGGAGATTTATTGTAGTGCTCCAGGTCAAATTCCATATTCCATCTGTTGGTTTTTGCTATCTTGCACCACAGGCATGCATAAATAGATGTGGCACCTTTCATACCAAGCATCAACAACAGAAACTTGTAATCACCACCAAGGAAAAACTCAAGATTAAATGAAGAATTATTTATAGTTAATGGTTGCTTGTCTTGTATTAATTCATTTATTTCATTAAATACTGTTGCAAATGATTCTTGCAAAGTCTGATAGCATTCAGATCCCTTAACAATGGCAACAGTGTGATTACCACCAGCAGACATTACATCATCCTCAGTTTGTAGTAGTGAAAATGAAAGCAAAATGAATGAGGAGTTCTAAGCTCCATCTCCATCTCTAGCTCATTCTAGCTCCATCTCCAGAAATTTTAACTTGTATTGGTTTGTCTGCCCAGTTTTTTCCTTCATCTCTGCTCATCATGTCTACAACTCATGACAACTCGTTCTTTCAAGAGATCAGTAAATGACATTTGAGCACCCTCAGCATTTCCTGGTGTTGGGCTGATGTGGCATATGTAATTTAGTTGATCTCTCTGTTGCTTCACCAGGTATGATATGAATTTCTTGGCGAAGCTCCTGCACTGACTCAGTCTGTCCTTCAAATATATGAAATCTCTTCTTTTTTGAGTTGAGTTCCTCTTTCCTCCTTGTCCCTTTGGCCTTTGCAT